TATCTCGTCAACAATTCCCTTGCGAATTGTGTGCAACATGCACAAAGATAGGGCCAAAGATAGCCCGTGCTCATGGCACCGTTGTAGGTTTGAGGGACTGCCCTGAAACAGTTGCTTGCTCGCCCCGATGCTCCAGATGTGTCGTGGTATGGCGTGATTGCTTTGGCCTTCTACCTACATGAAAGAAACACTGCTGAGGCAGGTTGTTATCGAACTGTTCCGCACCGCAAGACCTGTTTGAGTTGAAGAGAGTGCCTTCAGCGTGTCATCATTGTCCCAAACCTGAAAAGATCTGCACAGCCATTCGATGGTGATCTTTGAGAGTGTGGCGCTTTCTTTATCCGGGTGTCGTTCCTTGATTGAGTCCTCAGGCTCAGGTGATATCGTTTCTGATGATTCTGATCTAGTTTGTTTGCATGAAGGGTATGTTGACGGGTTACATCTTGCATGAATGCTGGAGGCGGATTGCCTGCCTGTCATGCATGTAGGAAAAGCCTGTGCTCGGTAAGTGTTGAGACGGCATGAGACGGCATGAGATAGCATGAGATGGCATGAGATATGAGATGGCAGTTTTTCCCATATTTTTCCAAGCCAAGATTTGGTTAAGACCAAGTGTTGAATGCTGCGCATATCCGGCCACGGTATTATATTTTCATTTTGCTTTAGCATTTTTTGTCTCAATCTTTACAAGTCAGTCCAGCTGCTTTGGGCTGTCGGAGACAAGGTATTTCTTTATTCCCGAGGCTTCAGCAACTTGTGCCAGATTCTGTGTCTCAAAGCCGTCTCCAGTTCATTCTGGTAAATGTTGCACTGCGTGTTCAGCACGAAATCTTGGAGCACCCTGCGAACTCTTACAATGACTCTACAGCATGCTGTGGATGTTCAGATTTTCGAATCTGCGCCAGAATTCCTTCGGTCCTTAAACTCTGGCTCTTGTCCACTGGATGGGAGGTGCTGGTGGATTTGAGAGACTGGGAGATAGTTAGTTTGGAATTCTCAACAGGTTGGAAGACCATGGCTGACTTCGGCATGACGGAATGTCGCAACCAAGCGCGCTCGCTTTGATTGGCCACAAATCAGATTCAGTATAGGGCTTGCACATTCACATGGCGTTTTGAGCGCCTTTGCCAAGGGAGATTGTTTGAAGACTCAGCATGTGTCACGACGTCGGGTTTGCGATAGAGGCTGCCATTTCTGAAGTCAAATTCAAATCATATCATATTGAGTGGTCAAAACACTCTCTTCTCTGTGAGCGCCAGGAGCTACGGTAGTGGCACAGCCGCTCAGGAATGATGCATTTCCTTTTCAGGCATGTTTCCTGGTGCGCTTCCAAGATGATGCAGACCAAACATAGAGCAACAATGCAACGTCGCCTGTGTTTTGCAAATTCCATTGAACAGGTGTTGTTGCCATGCGCCGACAGCTTGTTTCCATATTCGCAGAAAACCTCCAACTCATGGTCTCTCATTGGCAGTTCTAGTGACATCCAAGTGACGTCCACCCTTGTCAAGGTTGCTTGACACCTGACGACCTGGAAATGGTGAACAGAAGCAGCATCAGTGGGAATGTGTGCAGAGATGTGTGCCCTGCCTTCAAGAGCATTCCTTGTTGACAGAGCGCGTGCATGTGCAGTTAGCATCCTGCAGATTTGTGTTGAAGTTTGGGACAAGCTGACACAGCGACGTTTTACATGCAATTCCCAAACCTAGCTTGTTTGATTGTTCCCATTGCCCACCAAGATTGGACGGCTCCCCTTGACAGCCACCTTTGAACATCGTAGCTGTTTCCATGTCAAAACGCTGTTTTTGAGAGTCCTGTTTCCTCACTGTTTCTTGGGTGGTTGATATTCAGACCCAATTTGTAGGTAGTAGTTGCTGCAAGTTCTTCTTCTAAGAAAAGAACTTAAGACATCTTGCATCTTGAGCGAGTGTCAGATTCTTCCCAAGGAAAGTGTTGATGTCCCAGTTGCTTCCTGCCATCTGAAGGCCATGAACGTTTCATGAAAGTCCGTGTAGGGCATTCGAAGACCATTAGTTTTAAATTTTCCTCGGATTCTGATATATTGATTGGAAGACCATTCTTGACTCCAGCATGACTGACGGCATAGCACAACGAAGCGCTCCCGTCCGTTTTGATTGGCCACAGACAAGATTTAGATAGATTTAGTATAGGGTTTGCACATGGCATTTTCAGGGCGTGTGCCAAGGGAGATGGATTGAAGACTCAGGATGTATCATTTGGGGCTTGCGATGGAGGCTGCCATTTCTGAAGTCAAATCATATCAAACTGAGCGGTCAAAATACTCTGTCTCTGTGAGCGCCAGGAGCTACGGTAGTGGCACACCCGCTCAGGAATGATGCATTTCCTTTTCAGGCATGTTTCCTGGTGCGCTTCCAAGATGATGCAGACCAAACATAGAGCAACAATGCAACGTCGCCTGAGTTTTGCAAATTCCATTGAACAGATGTTGTTGCCCTGCGCCGACAGTTTGTTTCCAAATTTGCAGAAAACCTTCAACTCATGGTCTCTAATTACTCTAATTGGCAGTTCTAGTGACGTCCATCGTTGTCAAGGTTGCTTGACACCTGACGACCTGGAAATCGTAGACACAAGCAGCATCAGTGGCAATGTGTGCAGAGGTGTGTGCCCTGCCTTCAAGAGCATTCCTTGTTGACAGAGCGCGTGCATGTGCAGTTAGCATCCTACAGATTTGTCTTGAAGCTTGGAACTAGCTGACACAACGACGTTTTACATGCAACTCCCAAACCTAGCTTGTTTGATTGTTCCCATTGCCCACCAAGATTGGACGGCTCCCCTTGACAGCCACCTTTGAACCGCGTCGCTGTTTCCATGTCAAAACGCTGTTTTTGAGAGTCCTGTTTCGCGGTTGGCTGGCTGGATGTTTTGCGAGCTGAAACTATGCGCCAGATTCCCTGGCCTTGCAATCCCCGGGCCTCGCAATGAACCGAGCGGCGTGGCTCGTGCATTGACTTTCTCTGCTCAAAATTGTCGTTGTCAACTATCGTCTTGACCCACATTCCAAAATCTGTCTTAAAATAATGTGCCGCAAAAAAGCATTGGGTAAGTTCCAGCCTTGTGTATTTTGCGAGGCACCCTGATGACCTCCGCCTGGGCGTCTGCAGGCAGGTCCCACTCGAATTGCCTGAAACCTCTTCCCGGGCCGTGCCCAAGCCTGCGAAGCCAACTTGGCCCAGTTAGAGATGTGTCGATTTCTCATGCGTCTCGTTGCATTTGCATCAGTGTGGGGTGTGAGATCCAAAGTCCAAGTTCTGCTGAGTGGGACATATATGCAGCGCTCTTGCCGTACATGACTCAATGACAGCGCTGAAGACCAAAGCCCACAGGTCCCGGAACACAAAAAAGACTCCCAGATTCGCAAGGCTGAACGAAGCTCTCACATCGACGCAGCGCAGTGTCAAAACAAATGCCGTTTGCCACTGAATTTCAATGTAATTATTTTTCAGGTCAAACAGCAAAAACCAAAAAACAAGTATACCGCAAATTTATGGTTGGAGATCCGTGCCAGTTCTCCCCCTCCAGTAACTTGTGAGATCCTGTGAGACTTGTGTGATTCAAAGGGTTGGATTTGCTGCTTTGGCAGCAATGCTTGACACAAACAGATGCAGAACTATCCCTTCCATGCTCTTGCAAATGAAGCTGGGTCGGCATCTAAGTCCCAGGCGATTGGTCAACCGCACAACAAAGACTCTGCCAGCGACTTGTGATTCACACGGTCGGATTTGCTGCTCAAAGGGATAGCAGCAATGCTCGACCAAAGACTCCTGGTCACTTTCCTTTCTATAGATGAAGCTTGGCCCTGACTTGGGAGAGTCCGCGCTCAGAATGTCAGACATTGCTAGACTCCACGCCAGAACTTGGTGGCATGGCTGCAGAAGTCGTGGAGATGTGAAGGCGTGATAAGTCCGATGCGATTCTGGGTCAACCGCACCATGAACGAAGAGGAAGACTCTGGCATTGATTTGTCGGTCGCACTTGCTGTTCAATTGGACGGCAGCAATGCTCGACCACATCACTTTCCTGTCTGAAGCTGGGCCCAGAGTCACAGAGTCATCCAGAGTCCGAGATCAGCGTGTCAGACATTGCCAGAATGAGGCTTGGAGCGGCTTGGCAAAAAATCGCGAGCTCAGACATGGGGAGAGTCCCGGAGAACCGAGTTCAAATGGTCAGGCTGTTGCATATGACCAGCTTTATAAAGGCCGAGATTTTGTCGATTTATTTTGACTGTGGCAGCTACTTTCTTGATGTTTTCCCAGTGGCAGTGAGATTTGTGGATTGATCCATTCAGAGGCGGATGTGGTTGAAACCTCATGGGCCACCATGCAACCCCAATATTTTTCAAGATGTTTTTTGCGAAAGCTAAGGCTTGATAACAGGACCATATACAGTATACATCCTTTTACAGCGAATCGAACATTATCGAACATGCTTTTGATTCTTTTGATGTCTTTTGATTACATTATTTGCTTCTCTTGCCTCTGGTTGCTGCTGCTGTAGTGGTTGCATTCAAGTGTGAGGCCAGCTATTGACAGACTGTTGTGCATCTTAGGAGACGCATATCTTGTGTATTCTTGTGTAACTGTGCATACATCTACGAAAGGTGCTTTTCTTTTTCAAACTTGGGAGGGGCTCATTTTGTTTCTGGCCAAACAAAATTGTACTGGGGTGTGACATTGCTATCATCACCGGGAAGCTTAAGCCACTGTAGCAGACGATGCCACTATAGGATCACGGCCCCATTATCAAAGAAACAATTCTTCAACACTGGGCCTTGGATTTCTTTACAGCACTAATGACCAAGGCTCCCACAAAAAACTACATGTAAAATCATGTAAACATAGTTGAGAAATCGGCCCCGAAAAGGAGGTTTGAAGGTGCATCAGCGGTTGTTCAATCCAAGGGCAGTCTGTTGAAGCACCAAACGTTCATTTTTGTTGCACGACTGGAACATTTCCCTGGGACGCCATGACCTGCCATGTTTGAGCCGCGACAATATGCCGAATGGATTCATGGGGAGATTTTCCAACCTGTCATTGTCGTTATTGGCACTGCAAATGCAAAAACCAGGATCAAAGAGATCAACGGTTTATCGCTGGCAGAACTCTTTGCACCCTTTGGTGGACATTTTCCTCCTGGGATTTCGGTATCGGTGCAATCTCTAGAGCGTCAGATCGCCATCGAACATTTCCGAGTTCAATTCACGGATGCCGATTCTGCGGTCCAACTGAGTCAGCTCCAAGCAGATCAGTTGGCAGATTGGACAGTGGAGTCCAGTGCTTTGGAGAGACCAACACGTTCCCAGAGTGCCAAGGCTTTGGAAGCACCTAGTCCTTGGTATGAAGAATGGCGAAGCGCCCTCTTCCGATCATTGCGTTGGTCAGATCATGAAGGCTTGGATCAACCTACAGCAGCCTTGTTGGTGGTCATGTCGAAGGAATCAGATCCAGCAATGCTATTGGAACAGCTACTGCATTCCTCGAATATGCCACCACTTTGCACCCAGGGAGTGCTTGACCCGGTGCCCTCTAGAGTTGCAGTGCTTCTACATGATGCATCTGATCCAGCTAGTCCAAGCAAGGAAGAACTGGTCAGGAAACTGGAAAACTTGAAAACAAGCTTTGCCCCAAATCAAGTTTTTGTCCTGGAAATCAATCATGGTCCTGCCACAGACTGAGATCACTGCTGCAAGATGTTCTTTCCATATCTTTCCACAGCAGTTCCAAGTGCTGGGAAACATTGTGATTTTGGTTGATTTTCATGAAACTTGGGTGAAACAAGTGCAGACTTGACGAAGTGAGTTTTTACTGAGGCTGATCATGTCGAACAGGAGATTCAGGAGTGTTTTCATTGCGTGTCCTTTTGCGAACAGGTGCAGGCTGTGCAGGTTTGTTGCTTCTGTGAGGACCTCTTCAAGACATGCCGGAGTCGTCGTGCACCTCCGCCACCTCCGGTGTGAATCTCAACGATTTCGAAGTTTTCGAAGACTGCAGGACAAAGTTTTCGAAGTCAGAAACTTTTGTCAGGCCGTTTGATCTGTTTGCAGTTTCTTCATTTGGACATCACAGTGCCAGGCTCCAAATGAAAGCCCATCTCCGTCTCCTGGTACGCGACTCTCGCAGGAGGACCTCACGAATTTAGCGCAGGTGACTCGGTGACAGGTGACCGCGGTACGTTTCTTTACAGTCCCAGAAAGTTTGAAACCTAACGACAAAAACATACAAAAACGACTAATATAAGAGTCAAGGACAACTTTGGGTCCGGTGGGTTGCCAAATCACTGCAAGATAGTGCAAACTGTTTGGAAAGATTTGGAAAGTGTGAAGTCCTTGAAGCACTGTGTTTGTCCAGATGCTGCATCCACGATGTCATTAGAACCTTAGAATTTGCTGCGCCATCTCAAACTTTTTCACTGCGATTGTTTCAGTACCTGCTGGTCACTTGGGTTTTGCTGAAATGAATGTATAGTATGTACAGCAACCTTTCCCTTCAGGTGGTGACTGAAGTGGTTGTGAAGAATGCTGTGCCGTGGATGGAAAAGCAACTTCAGCAACTGGAGGTGGGATCTTGACAGTCTTTTGTGACTCCGTTTTCAAGAGCCGCTTTTGCACAGTTTCATTCCCTTCAATTTTCATTTCTGATTCTCTGTCGTGCATCACAGGCTCAGATCTCCCAAAGCCGAAAGGCCTGTGGAATCTCAGTGAACGTTTGAGCATTGCATTATTTTATCAGTGGGGCCTGCAGTGACCTGCATCTGGCCCTTTCAAAGTCTCACCGATGAGGGCTTTCGGAATCAGTTGAAATACCTTTGGCGGAAGCCTCGTGAAGTAGGGGCCTCACTACCAGTGGGATAGTCGACATGTTGTTGTTTGAGACGCGTTTGTCAAGGAGTCGGTCAGAGCATGGTGACCATGGTAAGGTGATAGAATGTGATAGAAGGTGATCTAGTATAGTGAACAAGAGAGTTCCGCAGCCTCTCACTTCTTTTAATCGTGCACTGAGGCAAATGAACGAGGCATGGGATCGGATTTGTTCAAAGCAGGCAACAAATGGAATTTGTGACTAATCATGGCGGTACTTTGGCTGTGCCCAATATCTGTACATTCCGATGAATCCTGAAGCAGCAACTGCAGGCAGATTTGCCCATGCTACATCCACTTTTCTGGTGGTTTTAGCCTTGCCATCACTCGATGCTATGCTTGCTATGCTTGCTCGGCTCAAGTACTGGCCACGCCTCCATACCCTGATAGCGAACAACCCTGTGGTGTCCTCAGTTCCTTTATGTGTCGCGTGGCGCAACGGTTGGTGTCCAAAAAGGATGCGTAAACGCATTGCGTGTCACTGCATGTTGCTGTTGTAAAATGTTGTGACATGTTGCAACGTATCTTGATGATTTCTTTCCAAATTTTCCAAGCTGCCCTGCTTCAGTCGTATCACGCCATGTGGCCGAGAGCGATCACCCAACTTGCCCCTTGGTGCTGCGAGAGGGCCCGCTTAGCCGCCAGATTACAGTGCAGGATTGCTGCAACGGCACTGCAACGGTTTGGTCATGTTCAGTTGGGTGAAACGACTGCAATGACCAATGAGGTCTTTGAAAAAGTCTTTGTCTTTTTGCATTGTTGTCCTTGTAGATCCTTTCAGATCCTTTCAGAAGATCGTGCGGTGACTTCCTGAGGCTCTACTAGGTCTCTCTATTCTCTATTTTGCTGGATGCCCAGAGAGTTCAAATACAATCCAGTTGTCCAGTTGGAACATGTTGGGAACATGTTGGGAACATGTTGGGAACATGTTGCACCCAGATGTGAGGCAGTCCCTGCTGCGGGATTGGCAAGGCCATTGCTCCTGGACATAAAGGCGGAGTCCTTGGGCGAGCCACGAAGAACGAAGATGTCTTCCCCAATGC